AATGGACTCCCATCCGTCATAAGGGACAAATGGATTGTTTTCTAATAAAACTTCATGATATTTCAGGAGCTGTTTCCCGAAGAATGGGAAAGGCACCGTGAGATAATTGTTCCCATATTTTCTTTTCTATACGGTATGCAGATACTAGTTAAATCCTGAGGACTTTTCATTTCACTCTTTTGGTGGTAACAGGAGTTTGCGGGGATGTGCATCACTACCAGTTTTTGTTATTTCTCTACCACAGGACTACCCACCTGGGATTGAGTGCAAAATATATCTTTTCTCAACCTTGCAACCTGTGTGAATTTTCTGCAAACTTTATTCGTAATTGTGAGTTTCAAATATATTCTGGGATACTGTAATGGAGAAAGGAAGTCCTGTTGAGGTGATTCAGTGGGGTCTTTGCGTGGTGAAATTATTGCGAGATATTTAATTATTCTCAGAATGCCCAAGGTTTTTTTTACGGAGAAATTTCCTAGATTGCTCATACAGCTGAAACGGTTTTTATCCGGATGTGCATCCTATGTTCCAGGCAATTTTCAGTAGACAGAAAGATAGCTGTCCGAATGGGACGTGGGAGGGGGAGAGATGAGTGGGCAGAGGGGGATCCAAGAAACCACGTTTGAAAAGCGATCGATTGCCCAGAATTACACAATTTTTCTTTTACAGTATGCAAGAGTTGAAATTGTAAGATTAATATTTTGGTTTCTAAAAGCACTTTGCTGTTCTTCATTCCATAGGTTCTATCCTTCCTGATCTCTTTTCTTTTTGCTCTGGAAAGACTCATAGGTTTAATGGGGGCCCGATATTTCGGTCTGAAACTTTTTTCACGTGGAAGAAGTAATGAATTGTTTGAACCTCTTGAAGAGTGGAAAACAAGCTCATTTCAGCTTTCTGTTTTAGAGATTATTTGGTTTTTCTTATATTTGATACCCATTGAGCTAAATTACTTGCATAACTATAATACATGATTGTGCAACACCTAGGCAATCGGCCCATTGGAAAAATATTTATTTATTTATCTAAGATGAAATGTTGCCCGACTGTCTACCCAATCCTGAATGGTTTAGTTGGATGTCCAATATTATTATTTGCACTTTTGGTAACCTTTCCCAGCTGCGTCTTTCTAGGCTTGGCCGTCCAATTTTCTCAATGAGGCACTTTCGCACTTGTGCTTCATTATACTGAAACCGCTCTGTAACATTATAGAAAGCCAATAAAATTTATGGTCCATGAAAGGAAGAAAATTGCTTAGCACTTCCCCTGGCAATCAATTACAGCTGACAGTTGCGCTGAGAGGGTGAGGGGACTGAAAAATTAGATCCTCCTGGAACCCTGCAGACTAATTTCCACATAGCTTTTGAAATTGTGCTTACTAAAAGCCCTTTGAGTTGGCTGTTTAAACTTGGACATCTGACAGCAGCGGAATTGCTTAAGAGATGTGTATGCCAGTAGGATTTGCTCTTCTTAACCTTGTGGGAAGAAAATTCGCCCATCCATTTCCTAACAATTTCAAATAAAAGTCGAATACGTGGCTCATCGCATAGGCGACACTCACATACTAGTATATACTTAAGTTTTAAATTTTTCTACCATATCAGGAAAACCGATAGATATTAATGTTTTTATTAGAGTATTACTCTTTTGTCCTGAATGACAGTTTTTTATCAAAGCTTTTGCTAAAGCAGCAGCTTTCCCATCCTCTCCCTTCCCAAATTTGTACTTGAAGGGAAATCACTTAGGCTGGTGGAGCTATGTGTCAAAAAGAGACGTTCATCCTAACCTAGTACTCGGTAATGTGAGTAACCTTTTACTAAATAGACCGCACCTACAGATTGTATCAAACCTTTGCCCTTACCGTGGTCTCTTATATCCCTCCTATCTATGTACCTGTAGGAAGAACACTTCTTAGAGCGGTACTACATAATTATCAAGAAATAGTAATTATTACCCAGAAATATAGTAAGGGTACTTCATCACCTAGTAACCCGAACCTGACGATACTCCACGATTACCCTCTTCTTCCGGTGTTCCTTGAACAGTGACCTATAATCGCAGAATGAGAATAGGTAACCTATGATTTCTTTGTTGACAGCCACAGAAACTTTGTGAACGTCGACTACGCGTCACTTGAGTAAACTCAGAGATTAATGATTATGAGGTAATCGCCACGTTTACTAGAAAAGGTGGCGTCCAACTTATAATCATCTAATCAGGATGTGTTCGAGTAAATTCTCGGTAAAAAGTAGCGAGGGAGTAGCTTTAGTTCAATATCTGTTGGCACTCTATACAAATAATATATTACAGCTGTATTGAGGCAATATTAACGAAGCAGGGAACCACGGAAGCTGAGTAATTTGCTCAGAGACCACCAACCGAATTCGTTAATGAGATTTTGCAGAACTACAGATGATAATCTCGAATTTCCGAGCGAAAGACTAGACTTTACCATGTATTCCCCCTTCCCTTCCCTCTCTCTCTCCCCTNCCCCTTCTCCCCGTATCTCATTTGCCCTTTTCGGGTGCTCCACCATTTAAACGCACTTTTACTGGAGTTCCAGAGCAGCGAACTAGTTGGCCGAACGAATTTTTTTCTGAAGAGACTTTCGATAACTAACTCTTCGGCTTAGTGAGTCCTGTTTGTCTGAATGAGATCCAATCCACGGGCTCCATCAAGAAAAGTTGCTTTTACCATGTCCATTTTTAACTGAGGGAAGTCATGAGAGGGCCAACACACACCAAGGGGAAATGCCTGAATGTTATGCTATGGGTACAGAGCGGCTACGTAGGCCGCCAGATGTGATGTGAAGCCTTATTCTACTTGGATATTTCGTTTATATAATTGCAAGAATAATCACTTATGGCTTCTTCAGTGAATCAGCTTAGGTTTGAAGCTTCAACGGCGTCTCGTCATTGGGATAGAAGACTCTTCCGAAATTCTCCCGAAGTCTGAGAAGCTCCGGCGTTCTCGCGTTGAAGCCGTCTTAGCAGATTTAAGGGGTGATTGTGCGTCATAGAGATTTTCGTAGGAGTAACTATCCTAATATAAGGCAGAATGCAGTGGCAAACATCCGACTTATGTGTAATCTTCTCATCGTAAGAGGAATATGCTGCCAGGGTCTCTACAAATCATGACTCATTGGGGCTGATAGAGTAAATAGCAGTACGACATACATACATTCATCATGACTCGTTTTTTTAGAAGAACATACGGGTGTAGATTGTCCGGCTTTTGTGGTTGTATCGGTATTAACTAGGTCTTTGATTTCTTACTTCAAAAGACATAAATATTCTAGAAAGCTTTTTGAAAAAAATTAATTGATTGGAAATTAAAATTAATTGGAAGCCCGCAGTGTGACTCCTAAATGACCCGCTACTTATTCCTCCATATGTGCACTTTATTTTTTTTTCCTAAACTTTTTTCCTAACTCGCTAGCTTTTTTCCTCTCTTCATAGTAGCATAATTAAAGTTGAATGTGCCTCTGGAAAAACTAATTCGAGATAAATTCCAAAATCATGGGTTTTCCTTACGAATATCCGCAATAACAGAGTAAACTAACTAATTGAAAATCATAATCTGAAACTACCGTACCCTCTGCGATTATAAAAACAAAATAATGCAAATGTGAAACGGAAAAAAATATTTCCGATGTGATGTTCGAATTTGATGACGGCAAACGTGATTAAGAGTCATCGCACAAGATTAGTGAGATGAAAGAGAACTGATATGAAGTTGAGCCAGCTCTGACGATATCTGAACGGAAATGGTTTCCGTAGAGGATCACACCGAGATCCTACTATCACGACCGGGTTATCAAGAGAGTGGGAAGGCAATAGTGCATGACAACCTCTGTGATTTGTGCGAATTCTTCTGTAAAACTTTGATGTAACCCAGACTTCAAAGGCTGTATACCTGCCATTGATGTCATAATCTAATCGGGCTAGTAATCAAGTATAAAGTATTTCAAACAGAGTCAAGCCAAGTGGTCGGTAAGAGTTTAGTAATCTCAATTAGAGAGAGAAGAATAAAGTGAAGTTATCTGTTTCTATAGTATGTTTGTGAATGTGTCCGGTGAGAAATTATGGTGAAGGACTCTTGAGGATAGACTCGCTATTGTTCTGAATGAATTCGCGTTCATACTCCTACCTGCGCCGCAGCCGAGCACTACCGTTCCTGTCAAGTCAAGCTTTACTAAGCAAAGGGAAATAAGCACCATGCTGAATATTCCAGTTCAAAGACTCTGATTCAACCGTAAAATTCTAAAATGAACAAAAAAGTTTATACAGTTAAAATGACTGATTTTCTAAATGCATTTGATTTTGCAACTCGAAATTGGACAATTATCTCATAACGTTCCATTTAGGAGCTACAACCAAAGGTCCTGTTAGTGGTAGTGGTGTTTGTACTATGTTTCGTCGTCGGAGTCTGTGGAAACTCGTCCATTTTGACACTGATCCGTGGTGTGATGGCCGATCGGCGAGCAAGAAGCCGACGACAAGGCGATAATGCCATTCTCTACATTGCCGCTTTATGTGTATGCGATTTCTTGATGAGCCTCAGCCTACCGCCGGCAATCTTAGTGAGTTTTTAAAATGTTACATACTCAACATTTGAGAGACACGAACAATCCTCCACCATCAGAGGGAGGGTTTTGTGGTACGAGGAGAAGCTCGTACTTGGGTTTGGGTGACACAATGTAAACTCATGTCTTTTTTCGCTGTATTCCTAGGATCTTCAACGGATTTTCCAGAAAAATCCATTGCACTAGGCCAGGTTTCAGGCGGGAATCTCTGCAGAATCGATTTCCTCTAAACACCCTATTACTTTATTATCTTCTCAAGGGATTACATTTGAGAAGCTGGTTACCTTGAAGAGGTAGTGGAGACAACCCAGCAAACAAGATTGATTTTAGGACAGCGTTATCGGTTTTTGGATATTCGGTACATGGATGTGTAAGCTGCACCATGTGTGTGGTTCAGTGGGTCGAATTGTGTCGACGTTTTTGATCACAGCAATGAGTTTCGATCGTTATGTGGCCGTGTGCCACCCACATCACACCTACCTTCGAAGTCGATCGTTTGTACTCGGAGTCATTAGCTGTGAGTTCATTACCCTCACTTCTTTAACAGAGTTATAAATTTTTGTCTTAGCCCCACCCACTTTAGTGCCAACTCCGCCCACTTTAGTGCTAGCCCCGCCCACTTCTGGGATTTGACCACACTCGTTCTTTTACATCTTAATACCTTTTTGCCGCATCCCAGAACGTTTCCGAAGCGAGTTACACTCTTTTTTAAAGAGTAGCTTTCACCTTAACGCACGCCCCGCCCACCGTGG